CAATTTGGTGTGTTCATTGGTAAACAATTTGGTTGGGAGAGAACTCCCAGAGAAAAAGAACTTCATTGGTTCCAATTTTTTAAATTTACTTTTTTGAAAGTTAATTTTTTTGTTTCAGTAATTTTTTAATATTTTTAATAGTTTTTTATTTTTTAAATTCACATAATATAAATATAATTAAAAAGTAAATATAATTAAAAAGTATAATATTTGTATTTTTTTCAAAATTCACTAAATATAAAAAATACAAAAAAATAAAATAAAAATTAGTATATTTTTGTATTATTGTGTATTTATTAATTTTTTAAAATATTTTTTTACAAAAATTTTACTTTTTAGCTACATTTAGATTAGGTGCATTTAAAATGTAAAAAAAAAAAATTAAAATATTTAAAAAATTCACTAAAAACAAAAAACAAAAAACAAAATAAATAAAAAATTTAATTTAAAAAAAAAAATTGAATTTAGAAAATTAGAACTTATTATGTAAGAAATTTTAAAATTTTCACCAAAATTTTTACCAGGCATTAATATTGATGTGCATTCCACATGGGTATTGTTCAAAATGTTTGCATTAAAGACCCTCGAAAAACTATAAAATAAAATAGAAATTTACATCATCAATCCGTAAAGAGCAATGTTAGGATATCAAAAATTCTACTAAAATTTTAATCAAACACTCACATGAATGTGGGACTTATAGCGATGTGAGCATTTTGATAAAATATTTTGAGTTTCTAATATTTTGCATCCATAAAATCAAGGGGTAATTACACCCCAGTGGAATGCAGGAAAAAAAATACAAACCCATGAAAAAGTATATAAATTTAATTATTAATATTTATACAGTTTCTCACTGATTTACAATTAATTTTTCAAATATCCACTGATGTGGTATTTTCCTAAAATCAATTTTGTTAGAATAATACTATATGCACCAATTGGTATATCAATTAGTATACTAATATATGATGTGACATAATTTTAAATATTTTGAATATTTGTAACTTGTATAATGGGTATAATCATAATTTTAAAATAATAATGTCATAATATATATTGGTATACTAATTGATATCAATTGGTATATGTAGCACTACCGATTTTGTTACGGTAATTAATTAATACATATAACATTATTCATTTTGTTAACAATTGCCAACAATGCATTAAATGAGATTAATGTAGCAAATGTTATTAATGTACTAACCAAAAAATTTTCCCCACTTTAATAAGACCAAAATATCCTCTCTCTCCTTTTTTTTCTTCTTTTTTTTTTTCAAACATTTTTGTATGTTTTACATTATTATTATTTTTTAAAATTTATTTTTTCTATTTCACTTTTTTAAATGAGCTGAGAAAAACACACCTAGTCATCTTGCAATAAGTAAAAATATGCATTTTATAAAAGATTTAATAAAAAAATTCATTAGTAAGAACAGATGAATGATGAAAGAGTTAGAAAAGTAAATAATAATAAAATGAAATGAAAATGAAACATTCAGATGAATGATGAAAGAATTAGAAACATAAATAATAATATAATAAAATAAAAAAGAAACATTCAGGGAATTGCAAAAAAAAAAAAAAAAAAACACGAGAGAGGATATTTTGGCCCATAAAAAAAAGTGAAAATTCTTTAGTATGGTACATTTATTGCATTTTCAATAAATGCAATAACTACACATACTAATTACTATATCAATTAATATACTAAGAGCATTTGCAACACTTAACCAAATTTTTCATCAAATTTGAGTTAAAAAAAATTAATTTTCTCAATTTGATACCACTGGCTCCAACAGTGAGCATCAAAAGGGGGAGGGGCAACCGGTTGGTCAACCGGCAGGTCGACCAGTAAGGCCATTATTTTTTTTATTTTTTATTTTTGGTTTCCCTTCATTTCTGTTCCCAATTCTTTTCCTATTTCTTATTCCCTCCATTACATATATGTCGTTTTGGTTTACCTCTAACAATGATTTGCTTCTAAAATCTCATATAAACACATTATCCATATGCCAGACAACTCCAGATAACTGATACGATCATAACTGAAACAAAACAGAGCATAATGAATACCTTCAAATCCATGATATTGACTTCATTTTCATCCTCCTCTTCTTCCTCCTCCTCTGGTGATGAATCTAATGATGAATGTATGGTCACACTTTTAGAGGCTTATGAGAAGAATAATGCTAGTATGCTTCAGATTCTTAAGTCAAATGATAGCTCAAAGAAAATAGGTGGTTCTGTTGTAGGTCATAAGTATATACTCTGAGATAGAAAGCAGGGTCATAACAGATTGTTTGCAGATTATTTTGCTGTAAATCCAGTGTATTCACCTACAATATTTCGAAGACGTTTTCAATTGCGTCGTCCTTTGTATCTGCGAATTTTGAATGCAATCAAAGCACACAATTCATATTTTGTTCAAAAACAAGATGCAGCTCATGTAGTTGGATTATCTCCCCTTCAAAAAATGACTTCAGCGATGAGAATATTGTTATATGGTGTCGCATCAGATGCAGTTGATGATTATATACATATTAGGGAAAGCACTGCAATTCAAAGTTTGCAACAATTTTGTAATTCAGTGATTGAAATCTTTGGACTAGAATATCTGAGATCTCCGACACCAACTGACATTGCTAGATTACTTGCTATTGGGGAGGTTCAGGGGTTTTCGGGTATGTTGGGAAGTTTAGATTGCATGCATTGGGAGTGGAAAAATTATCCAAAGGCATGGCAAGGTCAATACATAGGTCATCAAAAAAAACCAACCATTATTCTTGAAGCAGTAGCATCTTATGACTTATAGATTTGGCATGCATTTTTTGGAATGCTTGGCTCACACAATGACTTGAATGTGTTGGACCGATCGCCTTTGTTTTCTGATCTTGCGCAAGGTAAAGCTCCCCCTGTCCATTACACTATTAATGGACATAGTTACGATATGGGTTATTACCTTACTGATGGTATATACCCTCAATGGGCAACACTAGTTCAAACAATTTCTTCTCCCCAAGGAGCAAAGAGACAACATTTTGCAATGATGCAAGAGTCTGCCAGGAAAGATGTAGAGCGGGCATTCGGAGTCCTTCAATCTCGATTCGCAATTATAGGTGATATTATACGTTTTTGGGATCCAAAAATGCTTGCCAACATAATGAAGAGTTGCATTATATTACATAGTATGATTGTCGAAGATAAGAGGGAGGAGCACCTTGATTTCGATTATGAAATTTCATCAACCAACACACCAGTGCAAATTTCCTCTACTCCTACCAATGACTTCCAATCATTTTTGTCTCGTCATTTAAGTATTAGAGATAAGGATGCATATCATGCCCTCCGTAATGATTTAGTAGAACATATGTGGCATCTTCATGGTGAAAACTAAATTCACCACATCAATACATGTAATTTTGTTTATAGTTTTGGAATAGAAGGTTGTCTTGTTTGTAATCTTCATTATGATGCACTATATTAACCAAGTAGTTTAGAAGTTATGTGATGATGTGCTGTTGTGATGATCCAATCTTTAATATTCAGAATTGTTTTGTATTCAATTCATGAGAATTACAAATGATAATAATCATGTCTTAATCAGTTACAAATGATAATACCACATAAATTTAATAATCATGTCTTAAATTCTGTGTTAAATTCAGTATTGATGTGCCACAAATGATAATATCACATCCATTTATGCACATTTAATAATGATGTCTTAAATGATAATTTAATAATCATGTCTTAAATTTATTCAATTCAGTATTCTGTGTTCAATTCAGTAATGATAATACCACATATTTATATGAACATGTCTTAATCAGTTACAAATGATAATACTACATAAATTTCTTCACAATTCATATTTATTGATGTTCCACGTGATTTTATTTAGTATACGAATTTATTAGTGTGCATTATTTGTGCCATTCATCTATTGATGACATGCATTATTTGTGCATATAATGCATTCCACCTACATTCATGGCATACTATAGAGGTGACATACGTTTCAACCACCTACCATTCATTTTATACACATCACCTACCATTCATTGGATTCATTCCGCCTACATGCCTCATTTTACACACACCACGATTCACTATTACAAAAACAGATAAAGATCACATTTTTTTTGTGTGATCTATGTTATTTAATCACATTTTTTAAGTTTTGTCAAAATGTGATCTTTGGGGGTGTGATTAAAAAAGGTCATTTTTAATCACACGTTTTAAGTGTGATTAATAACATTTAGATCACATCTTTTAAATGTGATTAAAAACTAATAAACTTGTGATAATAAACATTTAGATTACATCTTTTTAAGTGTGATTAATAACTAATAAAACATGTGATAATAAACATTTAGATCTCATCTTTTAAGTGTGATTAATAACATTTGGATCACATCTTTTAAGTATGAGTAATTACTAATAAAACCTGTGATAATAAACATTTAGATCACAGATTTTAAGTTTAATTAATAACTAATAAAACCTATGATTAATAATGAGATAACATCACACGCTATATGTATTTCTCATCACAGTTAATGCGTGTGATAAAAGAAAATGTTCAACATATTTGAAGAATAATCAATATTATTTTTGTATGCGCATTTCAAGAATGTAATTCACAGTATATACTATACTTTGAATCACAACCACGTATTAAATGGAATAACGTCATATATTTCATAAATGAAAGTTAAATGTTCAAAAGTATATACAAAAGAATTAAATAAAAAGTTTTAAATTGTGCTTACATATATTAAAAAATGAAAAAAACTTGAAAAACTAAGTTCTTGAATTCTTTAACCATATTTTGCATCTCTCAACAAATTTCTGACCTGAAAAATGAAAACACAAATTAATTCAAAAACCGCTAGAAGCATATAAATAAACTTACTATTTGTAGAGACTGTTCTAGTCTTACAAGAGATAAACTCGGATCTTTTCTCATTACACTAACTCTTCATCTCCTGCATCAATAGAAAAAGAATAACCACTTTGATTGTTACTAGTATAAAATGTTTGGATTACCATACAGAAATGACATATTCATAGAATCAATAAATCCAAAATGAAAATCTTCAATGTGTGACCAAATATTTTAAAGTTATAAAACCAAATACACATAGAATTAACAAATCCAAAAGAAAATCCTGAACTAATGATATATACTGTTTACTTTATAATGATTTGGATATTTCTTTAAATGATCTCAATTTGATGTGATTACACAATCATTACTTTCATTACATAAAAAGTTAAGATTGTTGTCACTACGTAACACACATGTATACAAAGATACGTTCATCGAATTACTACCCAAACAAATTCCTTACGTAACACACTTAAAGAGTCCTAAGTTTTCTTTTCTTTTTTAAAATCAAGAACTCATCTAAACGCATTTCATATAATAAATTTGAGATTTAATAGTCACACCATCGACCAATAAGCAAATAGAATAAGATTTGAACTAGAAACATACTCACTTACCAACTCGCTTAATTCCTCTTAAATTATACATAAAACTCACTAACTAAAAATTTTGTAAACTGAGACTTTTCCTTCACCCCATAAAACTGATGTTCTAACTTTAAATGGAATCAATTACATCCTCGTAATTAGGTATATTAAAATAAGGGTACATATACCTACCTACCTTCATTCCTGATTTTCCACATAGCCCACTAGGCAAAGTTTCCCTAATAATCATTTCCCAATCGAAATAATTAAAATCAAGCCACCCTTTAAATAATAATGAAGAAATAGAATCAGGAAGAGAACCCACTTAACTCATTCAAGAACAGCACAAAACCAAAACAGTCTCATTAATGACCTTTCTTTTTGACAGAACATCACATGTAAGCAGCATTTTTTTTTTCTTTCTTGGTTTTTTGAGGAGTGAAAGAAATTTAATGATGAAAAATGTTACAATGATCATCAAATAAACAATAAATAATGAAATTTCTAATTAAAACCTACACAATTATTGAAGAAATAAATGCACAATTCTAATGACATTTAGATTATCAAGGAGATGAACAAAAAGAAGGGCATATAAAATGCCTATTGTAAAAATTTAGGCATTTCAAGTCCTCTATGAATCTACTTATATGATAAAATATCAATAGAAGCAATATGAGGAACGGAACAGAGAAAAAATTCCATGTGATTAAGTTCCAAAGTTGACAAGCAATGTAGCAGTTTCATATGTGTACTATGCAGTTTCATATGTGTACTAGTTTCACATACTTAAGGCACAGAAGTTCAAATAGTGTGCTAGTGTCGGGACAAGTTGGCCACATTTGAATGCACAAGTAGTGAATCAACTAAAGAATCAATCAAATGGCAAAGACTCACATCATCCGCTGAAATCCTTATTTGTAATTTATCTTTTGCATTCAGTACATTTCATCACACCTTGCAACATTAATAATACAAAAATCGAACTTAATGCTCCGACATCATCGAAATGTACAAGTTAGTCTAAAGCAAAAGTTAATAGATATGAAAATAAATTAAAAGAAATATGAACAAAGTCAAGCACTACCATCAAATATGTATCGACAACTTTTAGATATATCCCACACAAAAAGACATGGCAAGATTGAAATGCAATCTAAGCTAGATAAAATGAGGACTATAAGATTGGGAACTTAATACTATTCACCCACTGCAATAGATTGTCATAAAAATAAAAAATAAAAAATAAAAATTCAGTGCACGAGAATGTTTCAATAGTGTTCAGAATGAAGCACCAATAACTATTACTAGGAGGGTTGGGAAAATATGGCAACTTAATTTTATGTGCTTCAATGATTCCAGAATAGCTCTTACCGATCCATCACAACTTGGGCAGTCGTTGGATGGCAGTGGCACATGAAGATCCATGGTGGAAGGAAGATGCACCAACTCGGCTCAATTCTCAAAAATGGCATCTGCAACACTCTCAACTGTTGTCTTCTCTCCATTGGAGAATGATATATAACAAATTAGGATGAACAATTATATCAATATGGTTAGGATGAGGCTTGGGTGGAAACAAAAATATTTAGTGGGGCAGGGTGAAATCAGAAGCAAGAGCATCTCAAGAGGGCCTCCAATGTGTCCATGTTCTTATATTAGATATATATATATATACCTCGATATAAACAAGATGTCAAGAACAATAATTTGTGACCCAAAATGACACCATAACAACTTTTGCATCTCAAGAGTGCCTCCAATCCACATTCATTCCAATCAACCAAACATTACCTTAGGATGATGTTTTGTGGAAAGTTCATATTAGTCAGTCACGAGGTTAAAATTTTAGTTAGAACCTATAAATTTGGAATAAAAATACAACTCTTGTACCACCATTGACCAATAGGCAACTAGATTAGTCTCCACCTTGCTGTTGCAAATGACATTATGGATGATAGTGTTCACCCTTTTATTTTTCAATTTTCTAAGTGAGGAAAAAAAGGTGGTGGAAAACTTCAAAGATGCTTCCAAGTTAGAAAAGCCTGAGGATGCCCCACACATTGTTCCTGAGATTTACTTAATCAACAATCCAGCACGCAAAATAGTATAAGCATGGTAGATACATCATCAAAAAGGCCACGAGCATGACAAAACTAACTAATTTAGAGAAACAAGAAGCAGACCTGCTTGAAAAGAACATCTTTCGATTCCTCTGAACTTAGTTCTGCGGCCAAGAATATGAGAGTTGAAATTAGTTATACAATGAATTCTTCTATTTTCTTTGACAACATAGTGGAGATGCACAAACTATATTTTGAGGCCGTAAATCAAGTGAATAGGATTTGGAACAAATTATGCTTATTACTAACATGAATCCAACATTGGCAGTTCAAACACAAGCAATGCATATCCAGATACAAGGTCTCCGACACTTTATATGTTATAAGTGGCAACAACAAGAGTAACAATGGAAGAAACTAAAATTCAATTAAAAGAAGTTTACTTTAAATAGCTTCTAGATGAAAAGGGCTGACCAAAAATTAAAAAGCATGTGATTTAGAAGGAGAACCAACAAATTCTAAGCCAGGATAGAGGTGGTAAAATATAATGATAGACCACTTATTTGCAATATCTGATGTCCATGCAGAATGAGAGTATTACTTCCATAGAAATACTTAAAAGCAAATGGGCTCATCCAGATAAAATCCAATTCTAGGTCAGTGAACAATTATACCCCCATAACATAGAGAATGCAATAGATTTGTAAGCTACATAGGGGAAGTATGACATGAACTCTAAAACAATTCCTTTGGTCAATCTCAATAGCCCAGCCTAAGTAAAATTTGTAGCCAGACACAAAGTGCAACAAGGCATTCTGAAAACATAGTGCAGACTAAGAAAACTAAGAATCCCACAACACCATGTATCATCATAACTAAGATGCTTTAGTTTACTATAAATATGGTATTCTTCAATGTTAGCATTTCCAGTATAAAAGCATAGCATAACTGCAATTAGAAGATCAGTGTTACCATATGCCTCCACAAACTTGGGATCACCGGATGATTTGGATCTGCAACACAATAGAAAAAAATAATGACAATTTTAAGTGTGTATACCATATTCAAAAAATAAATAAATAAAAAATGAAATAACAATACTTCTCAGACAAATAGAAGGTCTCACTAAGTTTTATAAGAAAGGACAGCATAGAGGCTGACAAATTGTTTTACAGAAGCAAAATTTACTCTCCTATAACATGTTAAAAACAACTGCAAATAGAGGCTACAATTGTTATAGTCAAATTGGGAAAGATAAAGCTTGTAGTTTAACAGTCAAATAAAACAAATTTTGCATATTTTTTCTAAGATGGCAGGGTCAACAAGGCAATAACTAATGAACCTAGAAGATGGCAAAAACAAGCAAAAAATTCCTTATATGATCATATATATTTTTATTTCTTACCAATTAGATCAACAAAAAAGGAAATCTATCCAATGGGAGCAATCATTGTATCCAAAAAAGGCTAGAAGCATGACAATGGAACATACCTGAGAAGAATTGTCGAACCAAATTTGGACGTTGACGTTGACGTTGAGCAAATGCAAGCATAACAGCATCCTCGACCTTAAAGGAGCGGTAATAATATACCATTAAAAAGCAGCAAGATAAAGAAAAATGAAAGAAGAAAAAATGGGATATAAACTAAAATGATTTTTTTATTTTACTATATTAATAAAAGAAAGGAAAAATAACCAATAAGTCCTATTTTGCTCTTAAGATTACTGTGAAGTCCTATCAAGCTTCAATATAGAGAACAAAGTCCTATTTTTCATAACATATTTTCAAAAAGTTCATTATTCCATAATGGTGGATGTAATTTCAAAAAGTTCATTATTCCATAATGGGATAAGACACACTATTATAGAGCAATGAATGTTTGGGAACGCTTTATCACAAATAGGACTTCGTCCATATTAAAACTAGATAGTAATCTTAAGAGCAAAATAGGACTTATTAGTTATTTTCCCTAAAAGAAATTACAGACAATAAAGACCATACTTCCATTAGTTTATTCCTAATGTTGATTTTTTATTCTAAAAGATAGAAGGCGAATCAAAATCAGAAACATATGTGTTTAAGGAACAATAAAAGAATGTAATGGAGAAAACCTTCAAGGAAGCTAGTTCCCCCCGGTTTCAATGAAAGCATACTTTCAATATTTCCCTCTCCACTTAGGTCATTCAGATCACTAACAAGTTTGCTCCTCCTATCTGAGACATCGTTACTCACTCCTTTTTATAAAGAATGAAAGCCTAGATAAGTCAAAAGTGTTATGTTCTGGATAAGCTTGCTAGTCACTGAGACTCTTGATGAAAAGATTGGAGATGGTTGTTATATCCAAAATAGGTTAAGGATTAGAGTTGCTCTTAATAGCAAATAATAAATAACAAAGCCTAATCATCCTTAATCCAAGAAATTAAACTAAGAGTACACACAATGCTTTCAATTTGAACAACATTTCTACAATTATTTTAGGAAAGCAAAATTGAAGCCACTCACAAAAATCAATTCAAGTAGCAAAAATCAGGTAATCAGCATGAGACCAAAGCACCATCAAACATCAGGTAATCAGCAGCAAGCAACAGTTGGCAGCCAGCATATGCACACAACAAGCCAGCCAGCATGCAACAGTAGCAGCAGCCAGTAACACAGCAAAAACCCTACAATTTGGATACAGAGAAAAGCAATAACAGGATGGAAAAATTCAAAATTTTTATTTTCCTTCACCAACATTTCCAAGCAATAAAAATACACCATAAACCAAGAACTCAAAAACCATTCTAAAATACCGGCTCGAAATATTCAAAAAATGAGAATCCATAAATCCAATAAAATGAACAAAATGCATAATATTTTACTTAATCAATCAATTAAACAAAAATAAATAAAAAAATCAAACATTTCTGCCAAGATAAATCGTTTCCATATCAATAGAAACGGAATCGCTTGAGTCAACAAAGCATATGCATTTTCCTTTATAGTTAGAGAGAGAGAAAATCACCATGTCGGAGGACCACCATGGTAAGCATCGACAGAGAAAACCCTAGAGGCTGAAATTAGGGGAAGAGACAGAAAGACAGAGGGCAGAGGCGTGAGAGAGAAAGAGAGAGACAGACGCATTAGAGAGTTATAGAATCAGTGCGCGTGAGTGTATTTTTTAAATATATACAATCATACTTATTTAAAATGTGTGATTAAAAAAATATTATCTCACTTTTAATAGAAAATATTTTTAATTTTTCTTATGTGATCTTTCATCACATATTAATTAGAATACGTGATTAAAAAAATATATATATATAATCACACTTAATTTAAAAGTGATATAAAAAATAAATATTATCACACTTAATCAAATTAAGTGTGATTAAAATATCAATCTAATTTTTTTTATCACACTTTTAATAAAAGTGAAATATTGTCATTTATCAAAGTGTGATCTTTAACTGTTTTTGTAGTAGTAGTTCAATGAATTTATTCAACCAATTTAGTTGAGTATTAATTCCCTCCACCACCACCAAATTCACTCTATTCACTGAAGACCTCTACCCACAGATTGCCTCTATAAGAACACATTCATTGTATTCTCTTTACCACCACCTTCGAATTCGGCTTAACCAAATTCTATTCCCAAACTCTGCATATTCACTATATTGTAAGTGTGAATCCACAGAATCAGCAAGGCAAACCATCTGAATCAACAAAGCCAACATCAGCAAGAACAAGAAGGCAACATCAAAACAGAGTAGGCTGCATCGCACGGGTCAACCGGTTGGTCAACCGGCCCTTTCTTTTTTTTTTTCTTTTTTTTTTTTTTTGCCAATTAGTGTGCATGCTTTATTTGTTCAACTTTAACCTTCTCAAGAGCATAAAATTCATGTTTTAATCAAATTACATTCATGTTCAATATTTTAAAAATTAACTTCTGTCATACAGAACACATTCACTGACATGTGATGATCTTTGAAATATCATTTTAAAGAGGACGAGGTTAATTAAAAAAAATCCACATTGAACTACAGACCAAAGATCTCCAAAAAAAAAAAAAAAAATCATGGCAACAATTACACATTGAACTTGAAATATGGCAAAAATTCATAAAATCTGATGTTTCATAAAAATTCATAAAATCTGAACTTTAAATATGGCAAAAACCATGGCAAAAATCCATAAATCCACATTGAACTTGAAATATGATGTTTCTGATGATTTGCTCTATTCTTGTAGGTTCTTTTATGCCTTGCTCTTGCTGTTTAATATGTATTTTTTAGTTAAAAAAGGAATGAATAGGAAATATATCAGAAACATCATATGGAATCTATGTAATTAATCATACATGGCAACAATTACTTCAATTTTTATGACATCGTTTACAGGGCACTCTTGAATAAATAAAAAATTATGACATACATTAATAAATTTATTTTTATTTGTTAATTATCTAACAAATATAAATTATTATGTTCCATTTAATAAAATTGTGATTGCATGATTACTTATCACATTAATAATTCCAATACAACTAACCAATACAAGTTAGATGTAATATTTTTAAATAATAAAACCAATAGATGAAACCCACTAATACAGAACCTTTCAAGGCAATCTATTAGTTGTTCGAAATAAAATCTGTCGTTGAAGATCTTCGTAGTACGTCCTTTGCATAGGATTTAAAATTGTCATGTCCATCGACATTATTTTATGATCTTCATTTCGTTATTCTCTTTCATTCATCATAGATAGGAGTTTTAGTTGTTCCTCCCTATCTTCGGCCCTTCTTCGACGCTCTGCAGCCTTCTGCTCACGGACTATCGCCTTTTGTTCGTCTCGCTCAATAGTTCTAGCGGAGATAGTTGATAACACTTCAACAATTTTGGATTGGTTGGCAGCCATTTCATCAAATCTACTATCGTGCGCTGTTTGATTCTTCAACTTCTCCTTCGCTGCCTTAGTACCAATTAGTCGTATTGATGTATTAGATGGTTGTTCGTGCATCGCATTATTCTGGTTGGATTGAAATGCCTCATATTCAGTTGGTAGATTCGAACATGGATCAGCATGTTGTGTGCTTTTTTTGGGTTGTGATCGAAATTCATCCCACTTACAATTTCGGTGCAAAATATCTCAACATGTATCAAATGTGAAGTGTTTTTTCTGTATTGCATGATACATCCGCTTCGCTTCAGCGACCTACAAAAAAAAATTACAAACATTTCAATAACAAGTATACATTTAGAAAAGAAAATTGATATTTAATAACACAAATGAATTTTGCCATGTCTGCCTCAGTTGTTCCACTTTGTTGCCTCAGTTGAATTTGTTCAAAAAAATCATAGAATTTATTAATTGCTTTTTGCATGCCAGACCAACGGTGAGACAAAGAAATACGATTTCGATTTGATTCACCGCTCAATTGTGAATTAAAATAAACAAGTACTCGTTCCCAAAATATAGTCGTAGTCTGACTATTACCAGTAATGGGATCTTGAGAGACTGCTAACCAAGATCTACATAAAGTTTCATCTTCTATAACTGTGAACGTTTTACCACGCGAAACGCGAGAAATTTCTGAAATAAAATGATTATCATTGTTCTGTATGTTCTACTCTCGTGAAGTTTCTGACATAAAATTAATATCAATGTTGTGCTCCAACATTTGTGATTCCTCAAACATTTCAAAATCTTCCATAGTTTGCAAAAAATACAGTACATACAATATCTAACTTACTGAAAAATATTAGAATGATATACACTCAACCTCAGAATCAGATAATTTAATCAGATAATATAAATTAAAGTTTCAAGGGAAACAAATTTCTAATGATGCAGAAAAAACAAAATTCACAGCATATAATGTAATGCTATTCTGAAAATGAAATACTTTATCAGCTTGATATACGAAACAGATATATTTTATAGAGCACATCATCAACAGTAAATTTTCAAAATACTCTGTCCATCCAACGGTAAATTATTGGAACGACTAGTTCTGAAATATGTATATGAGATGTAACAATTTCAATTATATTTTCAAGGGAATTTAAATTTATATCACCTTTCAAATTATTCATAGTCCACAAAATAACCTATCTCAAAATAAACCAGTTCAAACTAGTTCAAACCAATCAATTCAAACCTGTCGCAGAATTGATCAAATCGGTCGACCGGTTGGTTGACCGGTTGATCTCCAACGGTCACGCACACAGTAAACCAGTTCAAACCAACCAGTTCAAACCTGTCGCAGAATTGATGAATCGGTCGACCGGTTGGTCAACCAGCCGGGCAACCGGTTGGTTGACCGGTCGATCTCCTCCAACGGTCACGTACAGTAAAGTAGTGAAATTTGTACCCTGTTCTCAATTTGATGATTTTTTTGTTGAATTCTCATTTTGATATCAATTTGCTGAAACTGTTGGAGTATCAAAAAGTGACTTTTTCACCAAAATTCAAATCTGATGCCAAGTTTGGTTCATCGTTGGAGATGGTCTAACACATGCTATAACATTAAAATTTCAAAACTATAGACCCCACTTATTATATAAATTATAAAGATTCAAAACTAATAAAACTGTGCCACATCATCTGTTATTACACTAATTAATGAGTATAACTTTATTATTATTATTTTTTTATAATAGTGAGAGTAATAATAATATTTAATATATTCTTAACCAGCATCCATAAAATTCAAAGTTTAATAACCAATTTGCGATTAACTTAACCCTTTTTCCTTTCTTTTGAACAAAGACTAGCTTAACTTTTTTTTTGCTACAATTACAAATTAAATTAGTAATTATTTTGCCAACTACTGACATGTGTATAAGACCTATACACATACAAAATATTTTATTAAAAACCTACAAAAGTTTAATAACCAATTTGCGATTAACTTAACCCTTTTTCCTTTCTTTTGAACAAAGACTAGCTTAACTTTTTTTTTGCTACAATTACAAATTAAATTAGTAATTATTTTGCCAACTACTGACATGTGTATAGGACCTATACACATACAAAATATTTTATTAAAAACCTACAAAAGTTTAATAACCAATTTGCGATTAACTTAACCCTTTTTCCTTTCTTTTGAACAAAGACTAGCTTAACTTTTTTTTTGCTACAATTACAAATTAAATTAGTAATTATTTTGCCAACTACTGACATGTGTATAGGACCTATACACATACAAAATATTTTATTAAAAACCTACAAAAGTTTAATAACCAATTTGCGATTAACTTAACCCTTTTTCCTTTCTTTTGAACAAAGACTAGCTTAACTTTTTTTTTGCTACAATTACAAATTAAATTAGTAATTATTTTGCCAACTACTGACATGTGTATAGGACCTATACACATACAAAATATTTTATTAAAAACCTACAAAAGTTTAATAACCAATTTGCGATTAACTTAACCCTTTTTCCTTTCTTTTGAACAAAGACTAGCTTAACTTTTTTTTTGCTACAATTACAAATTAAATTAGTAATTATTTTGCCAACTACTGACATGTGTATAGGACCTATACACATACAAAATATTTTATTAAAAACCTACAAAAGTTTAATAACCAATTTGCGATTAACTTAACCCTTTTTCCTTTCTTTTGAACAAAGACTAGCTTAACTTTTTTTTTGCTACAATTACAAATTAAATTAGTAATTATTTTGCCAACTACTGACATGTGTATAGGACCTATACACATACAAAATATTTTATTAAAAACCTACAAAAGTTTAATAACCAATTTGCGATTAACTTAACCCTTTTTCCTTTCTTTTGAACAAAGACTAGCTTAACTTTTTTTTTGCTACAATTACAAATTAAATTAGTAATTATTTTGCCAACTACTGACATGTGTATAGGACCTATACACATACAAAATATTTTATTAAAAATCTACAAAATGCTAAATCTATAGTACAGACTTCTATATGAAAGAGTTTGTTATGTATCTATTCTATATCTAACTATATAACTGAAATTAGTCACAACTACTTTACAAGAGCTAAGCTAGTATGTAACTAAACAACTGTTGAGCTATAAATCTTGATTCCTCTGTTTATGATCTTGATCTGGTGATGCTGATATTATCTCATCAGGCAGCTTTAAGCGAAGAGGAGAGGCATGAACCATGAGCTT